AAGAGATAGATATAGATATAGATATAGATATAGAGATAGAGATAGAGATAGAGATAGATATAGATATAGATATAGATATAGAGATAGAGATAGAGATAGAGATAGAGATAGATATAGATATAGATATAGATATAGATATAGAGATAGAGATAGAGATAGATATAGATATAGATATAGATATAGAGATAGAGATAGAGATAGAGAAAGAGATAGATATAGATATAGATATAGATATAGATATAGAGATAGAGATAGAGATAGATATAGATATAGATATAGATATAGAGATAGAGATAGAGATAGAGATAGATAGAGAGAGAGAGATAGTGTGTGTGTGTGTGTGAGAGAGAGAGAGAGAGAGAGAGAGAGTGAGAAAGAGAAAGAGAAAGAGATAGAGAGAGAAAATAAGGATTTGACAGGTTAAAAGCAAGCAAAGTGCAAACGAGTACAAGCTGGAGGTGAATCGACCCTCTTTGATTTGCACTTGAACCGGTCCACACTCAGTCCGTCACTCAGTCAGGAAGCCTTCATCAAGACTCTGATGACTGGAGAGGAAACAGAGGGATGAATGTGCGACAAGAGAGAAGAAGAGTCCAAAGACGAACCACAATAATGACTGCTTTAACACTCTATCCGTTTATACACACAGAGCGGATGATAGAAGGGCCTAGTCTTTAGGCTCAGACTCTTTATTTTTATTTTTTTACATACACTGACCGAATGAGAGGGAGAACAGATTCTGAATGATGGCATTTTCCTTCTCATACAGTGTGACTTCTTTAATATGTAAAGAGAAGAAAGAGATAAGAATGGAGGGTTAAGATAGTGCGGACTAAATTTGAATCGAAAGCATCTCATGCTGTCTGAATTGATGATTATGATTATTGAGAAAATGAGAATTTTGATATGAACCTGTGACATAATTTTCAACTTTTTAATCTTGAAAAAGGAGAAGGAAGAGATAATAAAGGGAAGGAAGATGCTCCAGACTTTGTTTAACTTGGTAAATTTGAATCAAACACAACTCAAATGAGACATTCTGTCTGAGACAATGATTATGATTACCGGTATTGGGGAAATGAATTTTGATACTTCAAGTCTGTGACACCCATGTTGAAAATAAACCACCACCAGCAGCAACAACAATATATCATGTGCTGAGAGTCAGAAGGATGTTAACTCATAAACACTTAAAGATGAAGTTGAGTTCTGGTCATGTGACTGCATTGTGAAAGAAACGTTGTGGAATCGAATTTGTGTGTATTGCAAGGTTCTGGAATCATCAAAATGATAAGAAATTTGGAAAAGTCTTGGTAAAGTTTCAAACACTGTACACAGAAAGATGTATATGGGACTACACGACATGTGGCGTAAAATTCCTACCCTGGAGTGTTACGATGTTACGTGACATATTCAGAATATGAAGGCATTTGAAGAGCCATGCTTTTCAGGGAACATGTCTTATCTGATGTTCTTCCACACTTGCATAATAAGAATGATAACGCTCACAAATTATTTTTCACCTCTTCCCAGAACTCAACCTTCTCTATAATCTTTATAGAGTTAAGACCCTTCTGGCTCTCAGCAGACATTGTTACCATGTTTTTGTGCAGAGCAGAGACTTTGTGGGTGTAAATTTGGATTAGATTATCCTGTGGTTACCCACCCAAAGAATATTAGGTTTCAGATCCCCTGGATATAAATGAATGAAAAATAAAAACATCTTCTCTGGCTTTCCATAAAATGTTTTTAACAAATTATGATAGAATTACAATCTTATTTAACTTTGGAAGTTCATGTTGGGTACAATGTTTTTTTGGATACTGTTTGTCGCGGCCTGTGAAAAGTTCCTGTGGTTGTTCAAAGTCTTGTTTATACATGATGCCATGGTAACCAGCCACAGTTTGCATGCTTAATCATATTGCGCTTCACAGTCTGATGTTTTATCACACCGATTTCTTCGAACTTTAAAATCTGTTTACTTTCACACTACATTGGATGGATGTTTAAATTGTCCTAACAGCAAAATGTGTCTGTGCATAATAGTAGTTATAATAATGATAATAATAGTGGGTTGTTGTATATAGTGCTCATGTCTGTCAGATATGACACTCCAGGCACTCCAGAATTATTATTCAGTGCCTTATAAACACAAGAAACCACTGTCATGCTGAATGATATTAGCTATGTTCTCATGAGACCATTATAGTTTTAATCTTCATGTTTGCAAAACTTCAATGTCTCAAACTACGATTCACTAACAGATAACGAGGGTTCACATGGAAACTAAACAACAAGTATTCAAATTTGGTTAAAGTACAAACTATGCATAAATGATATTAGCCATGTTCACTGGAACCATCATAGTTTTAATCTTTAAATTTACAAATCCTCAACGTTTCAAACTATGATTCACTAACAATGACAAGGGCTCACATGGAAAAAAAACAAGGGGTATTCTTTTCTTTAAAAAACAAGCTAGGTGAGTAGTTGTTGTAACTACTAGCTGGTGTAACCTCAAAGTTAATTATGTCTGCATGACACATTACTTGTTTTAAGGATCCTCCGAGGTTTGTAGTCAAGTTAAGTGAGTACCGTAAAGTCATTAGTGGTTTATAACTTTGAGTAATCTTAACATTTGGAGCCAGGAGTGCATCTGCACAATCAAGTCTAAGATTGCAACAACGTTTGGACCATGATCTAAACGCTAAGTTTACAGACTCTAGTGTGAACCTTACTATCATTGAATGGTAATATGGAAGTAACCCAGTCTGTGGGGGTGAATTATGACAATTTCCTGACAAAGCCACCATGAACTTGATAAAGTTCATCTTCTGGATGTCTAATATCAACCATAAGATGTAAATGTGGAGGAGTCGTGGTATAGTGGTTAATTCACTTGACTCCTAATCCAAGGGTTCAGGGTTTGAATCCTAGCCCGGCACTCATGACTTTTGGCAAGGCACTAATCCACATTTGCCACTCTCCACCCAGTTGCTTGGGGGTAAAAAGGAAGAGACATCAATGGGGCTGTTTTTATCAGCTCAGGATTACCAAATAGCCTGCTATTTCTGATTTGGGAAATAAACCTGAAGTTACAAATCACGTCTTCATCAGCCGAGACTTGACCAAAAATCTTGAAACTCAAGCTCGATAAATTAGCTTGAGATATTTTGGTCAGTGTTTGCGCATAGTGCAAGTCTTCGGGTTGGTAAAGATGCACCTGACAAATAGTGGGATATCTTGGGATGATTGTCTCTCCCAAATATCCAGATAATTGCAACTTCTGATGAAGACACAAATTAACTGGATAATTTGAGATTGGGATAGTTCAAATAGTGGGATATTAGGCAATCTCGAGCTGATGAGGACAGGCCTAATATTTGTTCAGGTGTGGTTTGTTTAGTGTGTAATTTAGTGAACCGAACCACAGAAAGTACATTTCTGTTCTTTGGGAGTTTGGTACAAAGTCTATGGCAGACAGGATATTTGCATATTAACGCCTATAAACATTTGAACTTCATGTGATCAATGAAGTATATATGAACTTCTATTTTTTATCCTATCAAATTTCGTTTTCTTCCACAGGAATAGCTTTTTCCATACAGGGGTCATATAGAACCACATTTCCAATTATTGTATTTATGGTGCATGTATGATTGAAAACTTTCTTGAGGGAAAATGAAATTGTTAGTACCGAGTAAACGGGAGGGGATCTCGCAAGATACGTCACAGAGTTGCCAATTTGTGTTTGATTGATTACAACTTCAAAAATTCATAACCTTCCTATTTATAATTAGAATTTGCGCTCAAACTTTCAATGACCTGTTCCTCTCATTTTTCTGCTTCAATTAAAACCAACTTAATATCAGGGTGGACTTTCCCTTTAATAGGGTAACATAATGTCATGTATCCTATCATGAATATCAGAAGTAGCAGTCCAGTCATGATTGGCGCTCAATTAAGAAAGTTATAATGACTTCCCTTTCAGACATTGCCTTGGAAAGGGTCTCCTCCTTCATTTTAATCTAGACCAGAAATGATTTCCCCTCATTAACCCCATTAAGTACTAAATTCCTTCATTTCCGTGGGTTCAAATCTTTATGTGCCATTCCAATCATTTCACAGTGCCATAATTAAAGGATAGTTATACCAAGGTATTTGAGATTATTCACATGTTTCCACAATGAATCTATACATGTGTCGAAGAAGTTAATTAAGACTGGAAATTGGTGATTTTGATATCTGCAAGCTTGGCTAATTAGCAACTGTAACAATTAGCCACTTAATTATAAGGATTGCTGAATGCCTTAATACATAAGACCCTCTTTGAATGCAATACGAGTACAGTTCACATCTTTCGACTAGACGGGATCACTCATCACGTCTTATTACTCAGCAAAAAGAAGAGGTCAAAATAACGACCCTTCCCCCTCCCAAGTGTCCCCTTCACACTACCATGTAGGTCACTGGGTAGCATCCTTCACCATGCATCCCACCCCCTCCCATTGCCCCTTTCACATTCTCATTCTCATTCTTCATTTTAAAATCTGACATAATTTGTTCCCCTTTTTTCACATGATTGAATTTTGCAAGATGAGAGATGTTTAACGTGCATGGTTCAGCTACTAGGGTGAACAAGTTAATTCCTTGTATGAATGGACATGATTGAGTTGAACTGAATTCATACACATGTAGTTTAAAATACTAACTGACTCTGGGCCTCTATCAAACATCATAATAACAACTGAAAAGTAGCCAAAAAGTATTGGGAATATGATAGCAGATTTCAATACGATATGATGCAAAAAACATTAAAATTCCCTATTGAAAATCAAGTATAGAGTTTGAATTTCACCCCGCAATGGTATAATTATTATTTAATAATGATTGTGTAATATCTTAGTGTGCGGAATGAAAGTATCTTATAAAAAGTTAAAGATACAATTTTAAATTTCAAATTTTCAAATTTGAAACGTTTGTCTTTTTCTGTTTTTTAGGGCAATCCTACACAGGCAACTGGCAGCTGATAAGACGGACAACGATCAGCGCACCTCGCTACGTCTCCGGCTACCAAACACCCCGGCAGAACAGTGGCGGTCAGAACCCCATCAATACAGGTACCCGGACGGTCGTCCACACCACGAGACAGATCCCCTCCAGGACGGCCATCCATTCCACCGGTCAAGTAATCAGGCAGAACATCGGCAGAGGACAGGTCCAGGTCCAAAGCTCCGCCCTGAACAGCCCCAGGACGGGCGTGGTCTCCTACCAGCAGGTGCTCTCCAGGCAGAACCCTGCCTCGTCCACCGGCTATAGTTGTAGCTCCAGGGGGTGTCACTACCGGTGTCAGGTTGGAAGTAATGGTCAGGTGCAGTGTATCTGTCCACCAGGATACATGCTGGGATCGGATCAGAGGAGCTGTGCAGGTGAGACCATCAAAAGAGGATTATTTTAAACTCTCTGAAAGGCACCGTCTAACAATGTTAAATCTGAGATGCACGGCCCTTCGTCTTATCAGTGTCTGTGATATGGTGTAATATTGAAGCCCTAAAAAAAATTGCTCTTCAAAATGATCAAGAAGTGCCTCAAAAATTACAAATCTTTGAGTGACCGGTTTTAACATACTCATTTTCCCAATAGACTGTAGTGTTATAAAAAACTGTTTGGGAAAACGATTTTAATCATAAATATCTTGATAATCAGACAGGTGATTGGTTGGTAAAAGTCATGGGATTCCTGAGCTAAATCCAGGATTTTGTTTCAGAATCTGAGGCAATGTTACTGAGTCACTTTAAAAAAGATATCAACCACATTAAGGTGATAAAAGAATTTAATATTCAAATTTAAGCAAAGTGAATGAAAAAAAGGGCTTTTCAATCAATGAATTAATTAGGAAGAAGGATAAGTCGGTCAGTTGTTCAGTAGATGTCAATCAACCATTCAATTAACTAAATACTCTATACCATGATCCATCAACGAGACCTGTTAAATATTAATGAATTAATCAAACAAATAAACAAACAATTAACATTTCTTTGAATGAATGAAATAATCAGTCGATCAATGAAATCGTCAATCAACAGAGCTCTCCTGAAAAGGTCATTTATCGTTAGCCAAAGGCACCTGATATCCAATTAGAAATGTATGCACCTCACCTGTTTGACCAAATAAGTCGTTTATAATCTATTGTTCAGCAGAGATGCAGACTATTGGTAATTGATATTTCCTTTTGAAGACTGTTTAATGGCCCAGTAATAAGGATATGATGATAATCACACCAATCCAAGAATTGAGATGAAAAAGGGAGTCTCAATATGTCATCATGATTAAGGATATTATATAATCCTAGAGGCTCCACTAGACACTGCTGACATCGGTGTCACAGTGTCGAAAGGGTCATACTCCGATTGAGAAACAAAGTTTGCAGCATCATGTAGAGGTGTCGTGGTCGCCGAGTGGATACGTTGCCGTACTGTCGATCACAAAGTCTGCGGTTCGAGTCTCGCCGCGGCACTAATGTCCTTTGGCAAGACATTGATCTACATTTGCCACACTCAACCCAGGTGATGTTAATGGGTACCTGGCAGGAATTAATTCCTTGAAATGCTGGAGCGCTGTATAAACGGCAGCTAGGCTAAAGCCGGGGTAATAATAAATGCGCCTTGGAATAGAATTATCTAGATAGACGGCGCTATAGAAATGCCTATTATTATTATTATTATTATCATCATATTGCTGGTTCAGACTATAGGAAATTTATATGAACCTTGTTATATATAAAGAATTTCTTATAAAGAATCATCATATAATGAAAGGAGAATAGGAAAGATATTGTGTTAGAAACGCCATGTAAAGAAACCAATTTTAAAGAGGTCAGATGGCATGACAACTGGCCAATCATCAGTGTATGCTCACAATAGGTCACACCCAATTATTTGATTTAAACAAAAATTTTACGATATGACATTCAGGACTAGAGCGTGATCCTGATTCTTTATCGAGTTTTCATTTGGAAAGATTCTGGGGCCCATTTCATAAAACTTGTTATTTAAACTGAAGTTAACAATTGCTAATTTCTTTTGACAAATTTGCTCTCAGCCAATCAGATGCCATGATTTCATTAGCTTTTACCAGTAGCTTGTAACTTGTTACTGATATCAAGTTTTATGAAACGGGGCCCTGAACCATGCATTTTGTTATACCACGTTTTATTATATGACTTTCTTAATACATGTTCAGACTAGGAGAAGATTAATTACTCACCAAACAGCTAAAAATATACAATTCTCGTATTAGTTGTATAGCTATACAACTAATTCTGGTAATCTAAATGCAGGGCAGATAAGAAAAAGAAATGTGCAGCATCATTGGATATTAGTTAGTTAACTTTCATCATGCTGATCATGCAGTTCCTCAGAGGGAGAGAAGTTACATCATTAATATTTCCTTCTGTCCATTCTAATTCATCCTGTATCTTTGACATTTTCACTGTGCATCTGTTAAGAGATATCGTGGAAGGGGGTGGGGGGGGGGGGGGAGGGCTTGCTAATGTGCAATTTATTTCAAGATGTTCCTCTCTTTTATGAAAAGACGAATGACATGACTCTTTTGCCTATCTTCTAACTCCTCTCTTCAAATGCGGAGAAAAGTGCACATCCCATGCATTATTTAATCACGATTTTGAAGTGCTCACCTTTTCTACTCTGCCCAAATGTTATACCCCTCTGAAGCAGTCTGATTATATTAGACAGTCCTAAGTAAATTTTACTGCATCAAATATTTTAGAAAATTGGTTCTTAACTTTTCTGTCATTAGACTGGCCAAGTCCAGGTGAATTCATAACATTCATGAATAGTTTGCTACATGATACTCAGCCCGTTTTAACTACTTGTACCTAATACTAGAGCCATCAGAAAAATATAATGCTGTCTTGATCCAAAAACTTTGATATGAAAAGACAGATAATGCTTGACTAATGTCCTTGTGACCTTATACAAAATTGTTATATTCCTATAAGAAAGAGCCCCAGAGACCTACATCATGCACTATTGCTCTATTAAGGCCCTGAGGAATTTGAAGAATCAATGATTAAAATCGATATATCCCAAATCGATAGTTGACTTTCTCTTTTTTGAACCCATAACCTTGCAGTTTGAAGATCATTTCTTGGCCTTGCATGAGCAAATCATTCTCTTTCTCTCATAATCAGGCAGTTTCAATACCATTGCTCTAGTTACAAAATAGCTCAAGTCACCATGTCCATATCCATCTGTCATTCTTGCACCATTTGAATTCTGTCTCAGTCTATGTCAACCTATGTCTGCCACTCAGGCTGTCTGCAGTCACACATTGTTTATTTTGCCAAAGAGAAAATGTCAACAAATTTAAACTTGAGGTTGGTTTAAGAGCCAATTCTATGTAATTGAGAAGATGTAAACGGTCCTTGACTTAAAATTGATTGAACTTTCAAAGAAATTCTTCCCTTGAAATTGAAATTGTAATGGAAACTATCAGGTCAATGGCAACTGGAAAACAAAGTTTCAAAGATATTTTGATGAAGATTGAGTATTGTTTGTCCCGTGTTCCATTTTCTACCCATTTTCTGCGTTTATCTCAACCTTTTTGGGAACAACGTATATTTAGAAAAGTATTTATGGAAGCACTGTATTTGTTTCAGTTTGTTTATGAATGGCTGTGCATGGTTTTGGTAGAAGAATAAAATTCATAACCAGCAGTCATCGAGAGGAGAATGAGGAAATTATGAGCTGAACAATCTTAATTCTTTGAAGACCCAACCATACAATTAAACGAAAATGATTACATTCAATCAAGAAATATATACGATTACATAATTACAAAATAATGCATGAAAAGCTCACGCTTAAACTAGAATGTGATAAAACAATGTAATAAGACAAGACATATATACAGACTTTCAATTTCATTTTCATTTTATTGTCCAACAAAAATTTGCTTTTCTTACATTTTACATACAACTTTACATAACATAATATACATAGATGGCATAGCAAATATAGATATCATGATATAGATAGATATTACAACATATTAGACAATATGAATACAGCATATATGCAATAGATTTATTTACATCAAGGAGAAAACAGTTTAAAACTTTAAGATAGATAACCTGTTTTATGTAAACATTACAATTTATGTCTTGAATTCACCCAAGTATATTTGTAAAGCGCTTAGAGACATTGGTATTAAGCACTATATAAAAGCTAAATATTATTATATTATTATTAATAAACTGGAAGCCTAGTAAAACACCTTCACCATCACTTAATATATGCTTTTTCTTTTCTCGTAGATATTGATGAGTGTGGTCGATATCCAGGTCTCTGTCAGCAGGGATGTCAGAACACCCTGGGAGGATACCGGTGTAGCTGCTCAAGTGGGATGCTGACTGCTAACAGGAGGACATGCGCTGGTGAGTGGTTGCATGATGATGATGATGATGATGGGGGTGGTGTTGTTGGTGGTGGTGGTAGTGATATTTAAAAGGTGATGGTGATGGTGTTGTTGGTGTTAGTGGTAGTGTTGGTGATGGTGGTGGTGGTGGTAGTGATGATGTAGTGGTGGTCCTTGTGATGATGGTGATGATGTGATGATGTGGTGATGATGGTGGTGATGGTGATGATAGTGGTAGTGGTAGTGATAGGTGTTGTGTAATGATGGAGGTACTGGTGATGGTAGTGGTATTTAAATGGTGATGGTGTTGTTGGTGGTAGTGGTAGTGTTGGTGACGGTGGTGGTGGTGGTAGTGATGATGTAGTGGTGGTCCTTGTGATGATGGTGATGATGTGATGATGTGGTGATGATGGTGGTGATGGTGATGATAGTGGTAGTGGTAGTGATAGGTGTTGCGTAATGATGGAGGTACTGGTGATGGTAGTGATATTTAAATGGTGATGGTGATGGTGTTGTTGGTGGGAGTGTTGGTGATGATGGTGATGATGATGATGATTGTAATGATGCTGGTGTTGGTGATTATAATGATGATAATGATATTGTTTGCAATGTTGGTTGTCATGATGGTGACTTTGTCATCATGAAGCAATGATGTTTAAAACTTGACTGATTCATGTTTTTTTTCTTCCTCCCTTCTCTCAGGAGGATGCCAGAGTTGCAATTCTGACCCAAGACCGAACCCACAACCACAACCAAACCCAAGACCATACCCCTTTCCCAACACCAACCCCAACCCCAATCCCAATCCCAATCCCAATCCCAATCCCAATCCTAATCCCAATCCTAATCCTAGCCAAGGATCTTGTCCACCAGGCTTCGTTCCAAGGAGAACAGCAGATGGGATCCAGTGCATTGGTAAGTACAGGTTTTCATTCATTGTATTCAGTGTGCTACTCATTAAGCAGTGGCATAGGTTGAGTCTACCCATTAAGGATTGAGGGAGCATTGGAATGATGGGTGGGGGGGGGGGGGGGGGCAACGGTTTTTACTAGGGAGTGGAGAATGTGCATACATTGTATGCGGGTAAGCCTGAAAACGAAGACCGGGGTAAATATATATATCTGTAAAGCGCTTTGAGAGGGCCTTCGGTCCTGACAAGCGCTGTATAAGAACTAGCTAATATTATTATTATTACTTTGACAAAGAAATCTATCTATAAGCCTACCGATAAGGATGAATATCATTAGATAGATAGTCCAGTCATCTTCTCTCATCCTCTTTCCCTTCCGCCTTTCCCCCTTTTCTCTTTTCCTGCCTTTTTCTTTTCTTTGTTTGGGGTGGGGTGGAGGGATGTGGCACGTGAAATAAGTTATAGAACATTCTCCTAAATGACTTATTTTTAAAACAAGCAAGGACATGCACATTGGAGGTTAATGAATCCAGTATGTCATCTGGTTCCTGAGTTCTGCTGCGAGTTTTGATCTGTCTAGATGAAAGATGGTTCACGGAGATCCAGTCTTCTCAGGATTAATTGGTCGACGATAATTTGGCAGTGGCGGTGTCCTACGGTGACATTTAAACCATGACAGAGAATGTATAACATGTGTGTAACTATGGTACTGTCTCTGTTTAGGGCCTGTTCAGACTACTCAATTTTATCATTCTGACTGTGCCTCACAAACGTTTCTCTTCATGCCTTTTGAATGGGATTCCGCATGATCTTTCTCGTCTGAACATATATGTATGAATATAACTTGTACTGAAACAGGAATTTTGTCCTCATATTTGTACTGGCGTATTGGAGTTTTAAAGTTTATTTCATATATATTCAGTTTAGGAATTTACACAAACATTGTCTTTTTTATGCTTATAATCAGAATGTCGTTAAATCTGATCTTCCAATTGACACCCTTTTGCATCTCGAATGATGATATTTATTTGCATCTAAATGCAACTTTGATTTATTGGTAACTTTGATGCTAATGGCCTCCTAGCTATAGGATATATGCTGTAAATAGATAGATAGATAGAAAAGTTAATAAGGATAACATATATTTAGACACTCATTCCTTTATGAAATATACTACAAACACTAATTAATCGACCTTCATTTTAAAGCGAACACCACAGACCAGTAGCTGCCTGTATCAGACCATGGGGGTGTTTGACAAAGACTAAGATCAACTTTAAGTTGGACTTAACTATGGCAGGCCGTACCATTGTTTGCTCTTAACATTTACTGGCATTGGTCTCTTAAGGGATGTATTAATCATGGTCACAAATCTACAGAACTTACATTTTTTGATAGTTCATTATTGAAGGAAAAAATGTTATCTGAAGATCATGATTGAGAGACCAATAGTAAGAGCAACTAGTGGCTTGAATGGCCTGCCATAGTTAAGTCCAACTTAAAGTTGATCTTAGTATTTGTGAAACACTCCCCTGAGTCACTAGGGTGTGAACACACCCTGACAATCTCTTTCCCATGGTTGGTTTTCATTAGTGACCTTATTGCGCAAGAGGAAATGAGGAGACGTAACCCGCTGTAACTTTGATCTTAAAATTCTGTTTTTTTTCTCTCCGATTGCAACTATGCCGTCATTACATCTGCAAATCATTTTATGCCTACCTTGCAGCAAGATAACCTTTTCCTTTTTCACTCTGGTTTTTAGTTCTTACTCAGTTGTCAGGCCTGAAATGTGATGACCGGTAATGATAGCTTTATGTTTCCCAAATATTTTTGTAAAAAGTTTGGTATAGTAAATCTGCCCACTGATGATTCCATCCATTCAATTATGAGATATTAGGAATTAGTTCTGTCTTGAGAATGGAGGAAAGGTTTACAAATCCTAATTGCGATAGGGATTTCCTAAGCTGCATAAAAAATGACAGTTCATTGTTGCAAAAGTGGTTTTACTTGGACACCTTGTAGAAGATCAATTCTGTTCATTCATAAATATGACGTAGAGGTGTCGTGGTCGAGTGGATACGTCGCCGGACTGTCAATCACAAGGTCCACGGTTCGAGTCCCGCCGCGGCACTAATGTCCTTTGGCAAGACATTGTTCTACAATTGCCACACTCAACCCAGGTGATGTAAATGGGTACCTGGCAGGAATTAAATCCTTGAAATGCTGGAGCGCTGTAATGGCAGCTAGGCTAAAGCCGGGGTGACAATAAATGCGCCTCGGGATAGAATTTCTAGATAGACAGCCCTATAGAAATGCCTATTATTATTATTATTATTATTATTATTAGGACATTTAGTTGGGTTCACATGGCAGTCTATGAACGTTAAGTTCAGGTTGAAGTTATCTTGTAGATAGGGACTGTATGGACACACCCATGATAAAGAAACGTAAGTTTACTTGACATTATTAAACACAAGTGATCTTAATATTAGTGTTGGGTTCTCAATCGACGTTTTGTGCCATGTGGAGGCAATTAACTTTTGGGTTACATCAGCTTGTAGTTTATATGAATGCTTTCCATGGCTTGTAGTTAACTTTGAATACTCATTGTTTCAGATCTGTGTGAACCCTTTTGTTGTCAGTGGATCATTCTTTATAACCCAAGGTTTCTCAAACTCAAAAGTTTAAAGCTATGAGGATTCTGTTTGAATATGGCAATATTCTATACATATGAATAAAAAGAATGAAAAAAAGCTCAGAAATCATTTTCACCTTAATCAGTACTAATTCTTCTCTTTAAAAAAAGAACACGACTGCTGTTTGGGATTTGTTTACATTACATTAACATAAGATTTGCGGACTGTAGCAACTAATGTGAAATCCCCCATTGTCTCTTTATGGTCGTAAAGTGACTGAAACTACACATAAACTTCTTACAGTTCATTGATATTTGCAATTATGAGTCATATATCCCATTAACATTTTGGAAATAAACAGGGACTAATTGCAGGCATTTTTACTTACTGGCATGATTTATTGAAATTAAGAGTGGAGTATTCTTCATATATATGATTTTTAGTATCTCTTTCCAGAATAATGAACAAAATTATTTGTTATTGCTCATTGCGAAATTTTTGACCTTTTCTGAATGTCAAGGTGAAGTTGGAGGCAGAGTGGTTTTTGTTGTACAGAATGTCTCTCCACTATGAAAAGAAGATATGGGTATTAAAACAGACATCAAAGAAATAGAAAGAGAGAGAAAGAGAAAAAGAGAGAAAGAGAGAAAAAGAGAAAGAGAGAAAGAGAGAACGAGAGAAAAGAAGAGAAGAGAAGAGAAGAGAGAGAGAGAGAGAGAGAGAGAGAAGGGGGGGGGGGGATGGATAGATTACAATATGAAATAGTAGGGAGAAGGAGAGAGAGGGAGAGAGAGAGAGAGAGAGAGAGGGGGGGGGGGGGGGGGGGGGAGAGAGAATGCACTAGAGAGGAAGGAGTGAGGAGGGGTTTGGGCTATTGAGAAGATGCCAATTAGAAATAAAAACAATCATTAGAACATTTATATTTTGACAGAATCACTTCAAATCATTTTAAAATGATTTGATTATAAACAAACTTTCAAGGAGAGACATGTGTAGATTCCCTCATTTAGAGAAGATCAAAGTTAGAAGGGGATATTGAAGTTGATTAAAGAAATATGCTATGATTACTTGTCTCGCCTGCAGTATGTATCATTCATCATGATAATGCTCTTGAATTTAACTTACTCAGATTCTTCATATAACTCTACATGCAACAATCTTTAACCATTTTAAAGGGACACACTTCATATCATTGTATGTCTATAGAAGTACGATCCTTTTGTGAAATGAGCGCCAAATTCATAAGTAATTTTTGAAATAGAGAGGTCTTGTCAAATTCAATTTTGTAGATTTGTGATACTGTTCAGAGATATAACCCATTAAAAGAATCTGTTGATTTATATTTGTCATCATCTCAACTAGCCAGTTGTACAGCTTCCCCTCAAAAGGACTTATAAAATTTAAGATGTTCCGCGTACACCTTTTATGCACGTTTTCATTTTATCCTTTATTCTCTTGATACTCAACAGTTTAGAATGCCAGACAGCGTCTTTTGAGGTTGATTAAATATATTATACCGATACACACATTTTTCATTTCAGGTGATTGGTACACTTATAGTAGGTCCATGCTTTAACACACAGTCAATGCTCTTGAGGCTTCAAGCAGACGATATTGTGATGCATACATGAACTATTAACATGGCCTTGACTTTGTACCAACAGTATCGCTGTTTTGTTTTACACCCTGACTTTAATACTTATCCATTATCCAATCAGGCAGAATTTCCTCAGACAATTATCCCAGAACACCCACCCAGATGGCAAGAATTGCTGTCAATTTTCTCATCATTAATAAGGATATTGACATGGGCGACTAAGTTAGGGAATGTTCAAGTTAAAAAACATACAAAATGTTCTGCATACATTGAAATGAAATTGAAGAAAAATCATTTTCACTCTCATTCAAAAAATTTACACTAAAAGATACTACTCCAGTACATTTTATGTTGTGTTGCTTGCTTGGGGAATTGATGGAAATGAGACTGAGATGAATATTCATAGGTTGGATAGAGTGCAGGTGGTAGTCTATTTCAATGAAATTAAAACATATTAAACTGTAGATTAAAATGGTTAAGTATGCCTTCTGATTGTGGTCGAGTGGATACGTCGCCGGACTGTCGATCACAAGGTCCGCGGTTCGAGTCCCGCCGCCGCACTAATGTCCTTTGGCAAGACATTGATCTACATTTGCCACACTCCACCCAGGTGAAGTAAATGGGTACCTTATATGTACTTGTTAGAGAAAGGTAGAAAAGCTGATTTTTGTAGTCTTATACATTCAACATATGTCATGGACCAATAGCACACAAACAGAAATCCTATTTTGAGAGTTCATCTTTCATGAAAAATATAATCTTGTTATGAATG